ATTAGCTGCTTCGACTGCTCCATTTGCCTGAGGTCTATAGGGGGAAGAATGATGATGTTGAATGCCATATTTTTATAGCAATTCTTCACATTCGGCTTGAAAGTGAGTTCCATTGTCACTTATCGCTTCATGTGGGACTCCGTATCGACAAATAATATTTCTTTCGATAAAGAGTGCTACATGTTTTACGGTGAGTTTAGCGTATGATTGTGCTTCGACCCACTTTTTGAAGTAATCGATTGCCACTAGGATATATTCGTGACCTCCTGTTCCTGGGGGAGTGATTTTGCTGATGATGTCAATTCCCCATGTAGAGAACGGCCATGGCGACGTGTAGGTGTAGAGTAAAGATGGAGGAACGTGTTTTAAATTAGCATAGATTTGGCACTTAGGGCATCTTTTTATGTATTGATGGCAATCCCTATTCATTGTAGTCCAATAGTATCCTTCTCGCATAATCTTTTGGACTAACATTTTGCCATTTACGTGAGTTCCACAAATTCCTTCGTGGACTATCCTCATTGCTCTTTGGGCATCTTTTTTTCCTACACATAAGAGAGCTCGACCCTTAGGTACCCTTTTATGCAGCTCGTTGTCTATGAATACATATTGGGAAGCCAAGAGTCTTAATGCTCTTTTTGCTCTTTTGTCATTATGGGGAGGGTATTCTCCTTTGGTGACATAATTGAGTAAATCTGTATACCACGGTTCTTCTTCTTCTTCTTCGTCCTGGATTACTTCATCATCTTCTATAGCTTGAATATATGCTGGTTTGTGCCTTTTTTCTATATTTAGAGGCATTTGCTCGATTTCCGTAGGAATCCTAACCATAAAGGCTAGTCTGGCCAAGGCATCAACAAATTGATTTTCTTCCATGGGTAGATATGTGTATTCAACCTTCTCTAATTGATTAGTAAAGTTTTCCAGATAGGTTTGGTAAGGAGCCAGACTTTCGCTTCTTACTTTCCACCTTTTGGAGATTTGATTGATGATTAATGAAGAGTCTCCGAATATCCGTAACTTTTTTACTCCCAATGCCAAAGCTATTTCAAGGCCTACCACGCATGCTTTATATTCAGCCGCGTTGTTGGTAACGTCGAAATCAAGCTTTATGGAGATTGGAACATGCTCTTCTTTAGGTGATACTAGTAATACTCCAACGCCACATCCCTTTTGGTTTGAGGCTCCGTCGAAGTACAAGGTCCAAGTATCATCTTCAGTGACCATTAAGTATTCATCTGGAAATTCATTGTCGTGTATTGGCGTCGAGTCTTCTATCGGAAAGTCTGCTAGAAAATATGACACCACAGATCCTTTGATAGCTTTTTGTTGCATGAACCTTACATCAAACTGGGCTAAATTGACTATCCATCTCGATATGCGCCCATTGAGTGTGGATTTCTCGAATAGATACTTGAGTGGATCTAATCGGGAGACTACGAAGACTGTATGCACGAGCATGTAATATCTTAACTTGGTTGTGGCCCACACCAAGGCGAGGCACAATTTCTCAAGTGGCGTATAGTGTGCTTCATATTCGAGCATTTTCTTGCTTAGATAGTAGATCGCATTTTCTTTGCCTTCTACTTCTTGTGCTAGCATAGCTCCCATTGTCTCTTTGGTAACTGTTAAGTACAGCCTGAGAGGTATTCCTGGAAGTGCTGGTGCCAATACGGGAGGATTTGCGAGATAGGCTTTGATCTTTTCAAAGGCTTTTTGACACTCATCATCCCATATTACTCGTACATTCTTCTTAAGCTTTTTAAAGATTGGTTCACATATTGTCATTGTAGGGAATATTTCAAGTGCTAACCCCCTAGCTTGAACCCCACTGTGATCATACACTAAAGTACGGTGGCATCTAAAAGGAAAGAAGATAGAGCAAAAGAGTCGCCAACAAGTTTTAGGAACTTGTAAACCGTTCACAGGGTGAAGGTTACACCCCTTAACGATCCAAGAGATCATCAACTCCATAAGGTCTTGAACCAAATAAGGGTTCGGGGATGAAGGTACAAATCCAACCTAAAAGAGATTGAACCTGCCCTAATAATAGGCCTCTACTTTATTCTGATCGTATCCATATGCGCTTTCTGACTAACATGCAATCAATAGGATTAACCCTAAACCTGTTTATCTATGTTGGTTGAATATTAATGCACAAATAAACTATTATTGGCGATCACTTGAATTATAATCATATTAACCCCAACAAGATTATTAATTATCTTATTAAGCGTGATTACAAGTACAAATTCCCTTTAAACATGCATAAAAGGGTGTGATCAAGCAATAACAATAAATATATATCAAGCAACATAATAATAATAATAATAATAATAATAATAATAATAATAATAATAATAATAAAAAATAATTATAATCATAAAATTATAATCATAATAAAAACAAATATAATTAAAATAATCATAATAATAATCAAAACAATAAACATCATAATACCAATTATAATAATCATAATCATAATAATCATGTTAAAGCATAGCAAGATCCTAGGCATGATACTAACAAGATTAATAACAAACCCTAGCATGTCACTAAGCAATAAAATTCAAATCTTTAACCCTAACATGATACTAACGGTCATAAATATTAGGAAGAACATAGAAGACATCGTACTTTTAATCATACTTGATATTAAAGTTACCCTAGACATGATACTAGGAATATCGTAATAACAACCTAAGCATGAACTCTATATCATAACATCAATGAAAACCATTAAAGTACTTACTTTGATGCCACGTACCTCTTTCTAATAACAAAATACACACGTTAATAACTTCAAGGAAAATAATAAACAAACAATTAAATTAAATAATAAAAAGAGAGATTTGGGACCAAACCCTCATAAATTAAACCTTTCACATCTAGGGCGAAGACAACTTCAAATATGGCTAGGTGTTTCTGGATCTAATGAATGCGGAATTTTGTATGAGAAAGCTAGTTTAGAAAAAGAGAGAAAGGGAGAGAGAGCAATCAAGAGAATATTGATGAGAGTTGGTAGATTGTAGATGAATATTGATGAAAACTGGTTATAGGTGAATATTGATGATTCAAGATGAAAACTGGTTATTGATGAAAACTGGTTATCGAAAACGGAGTTTTTAATACGTTATTTATAGAGAAAATCAGCCAAAAAGATAAAATATCCAAAACAGAGTCTGGCGCACGTAAAACAGAGTTGGCGCCAACGCTGGCTGTTGTCGCCAGGCCCCTACACTAGCGCCAAGCGCCAAAGATGGCGCCAGGCGCCAAGCGTAGCGCTAGGCGGCTTACAGCTGGCGTTTGGCGCTGATCTGGAAAATTACGTGTTTTTTTTAAAATCAGATAAAAATTGCCGTACAGGAGGATAAAATCGTATTTTTACTCAAAATGCTCTTTGATTTTAATTAAAACTCCGAAAAGTCAACAAAAGTCAATTTATCAATGCTAATTGAATTAGGAATGAAAAGAACCTTATAGAAGAATCTAGAAAACTAAAACCATTCCTAATTGTATTAGGAATGATAAATCTATATTAGGCCCTCCCCTAGATCATTGGGCCGCACATAAGGCTCAAACCGGGCCCAGTTTAGTAAATTGACCATAACTTCCTCAATATTCATCGGAATTGGGCTTATAATATATCGTTGGAAAGCTCTTGTCAAGCCCCATCCAAATACACTACTATTGGACCCATATCATGGAACAACCAAACTGTATTGGCTATTTTCTTAAAATAAGCTTTCAAAAATAGAGAGAAGAGAAAAGAAATTAAAACTATCCGCAACACTAGACTTTCCACACTTTCACTTCATTCGATTATGATTCGACGTGAAAGGTACTCATCACTGGGTTTGGTTTTGGGGAGACACAAATGGGTGCCTACAGCTGTACATTCCTTTTATTATTATTATGCGCAGGAATTCCGCCACTTACAAGTGGTTATTGATGCTGGCACGATTAGCTCCCGTGTCAGTAACTTCAATTTATTGGGGGAAGTTAGTGGGGAAACCCGTTCGATGCGTAGTCAATATTAAATAAATTATGTAGTGGTCTAGTGAGAAGTTTAATTGAATGTTGTATGCTTGAAAAACAGGAGTAACAAGGTAAGTTGTATGTTGATAGGAAGTTATATGTTAGTATGTTAATTACGCTTATGTACTCAGCTTTGCCGATTGTGTGTTTTGTGTGTTTATTGGTCTTGTCTTTATCTTGGCCCTATGATGACCCATTTTTAATGGAGAGCAGTAGAAACAAGTAGAGAGAAGTTTTTCAGGTGATGAAGCATATTCATGAATGGACATGAGTGAAGAGAGAATCATGCTAATTTCTATAAGTATATGATGTGGTTATCGCTTTAATTATTTATGATATCATTATTATGCATGACCAACGCAAAATGTTTTGAATTTGGTTTGGTTTTAATAAGGGCATATAATGGTTCCAAATTGTAGGTTGATTTTATTTTACTTCGTTTAACTTTGGTTTGACTTTACTTTCGTTGATTAACTTTTTAAGTTGACTTGTTTTGAATGGTTTTTAAATTAGTCTTCCGCTGTGTGTCTTTGATAGTTGCCTTAATTAGCCGTTTTCACGGTGGCGGTAATGTTTTAGATATTCCTATTTAAAGTTTTAAACAGGGCAAAACATGTATTTTAAAAAGGAAGGAATTTCTAGGGTGTTACAAAGTATGTCACGCGTAGAGTTGTGTTGATGCAGGTGCACAATACTAGTAGAAAAATACAAAAAGGCAACCCCCAAAAGGCACCAGTTCAGGCCAAACCGGTGCCAAAAACCTGCGTAAAAATGGGCGGAATTTCAGACCAAGAGCAATGGCACCGGTTCAGCTCAAATCGGTGCCAAAAATACAAAGGGCACCGGTTTGAACCGGTGCCACTAAACCGGTTCATCTATATAATTAAAAAAAAACCCGCCCCATATAAACCCAAATAAAACCCTAAATCTCCCTCACTTCCTCAGCCGCTCCTCCTCTCTTTCTCTATCCTCCTTCTCTTTCTCTCTCCTCCTTCTATCTCTCTTCTCTGTTCGCCTTCTTTCTCCTTCTTGGCCATCAGTTTCCTTCGATCTCATCTCCTTCTCTTTCTCTTTCGTTCTTCCCAGATTATCCTCCCCTTCTCACTCGTTTCCACCACCAAAGGCCACCATCGAAGAGGCGAAGACCACCACCAAGACCAACACCCAAGACCACCAAGAACACCGATTCTAGGTACATGCATGTGTTTTTTGGGTTTTTTTTTCTTTATTTTGAGATTTATAGGTTTAATTAATCGAGTTTTGGGTTTAATTGGATTTTTCTGGGTTTAATTAATCGATTATAAATCGATTTTTGGACTTTAATTCTATTGATCTGGGTTTCATTAATCGATTTAAATCTATTTTCGGATTTTATTTCGATTTTTCTTGGGTTAATTTTTTATTAAAATAATCGTTTTTTGGGCTAATTAATCGAGTTCTGGGTTAATTTTCGATTTTTGTTGGTTAATTAATCGAGTTGTGGGTTATGGCTAGCATTTCAATTTTTCTTGGTTAATTTTCGATTAAAATAATCGTTTTTTGGGTTCATGCATACGTTTTTGGGGTTGTTTTCTGGGTTTTGTTTTTAGATTTTGAATTTTTTTTCGATTTCAAGTTTTTTTTTTCTGTGTTTTTTTGATTTCAATTTTTTCTGGGTTTGAATTTTTTTTCAATTTTTGGGATTAAATTCTGGGTTTTTTGTTCAAAGCTTAATTATATTAATGGATTTTTTTAAATTGGTGCAGGTATGTTATTTAGATCTGAAATCGAAGAAGCAAGATACAAGAATGAATGGGGTTTTTGTTTTTGTTTTTTTTTTATTTATATTGTAATTTTTTTTTAAATTTATATTGTAATTTTTTTTGTATTTATATGTTGTAATCGAAGTATTTATATGTTGTAATTTTTTTTTGATTATGTATTGCAAATTTTCGATGATATTGATGTTGTTTTAATCGATATTCGCTTTATGTTATGTTTTGATGTTTTTATGTATTTTAGTCTATTTAATTTTTAAGTGGAAGAAACAAAAAAAAAATTATATATTGTTTGGCACTTTTGGCACCGGTTAACCGGTGCCAAAAAATGAATCATAAAATTTTTGGCACTTTTTGGCACCGGTTTGAACCGGTGCCTTTTTAAACCCCTTTTTGGCACCCCCCACATTGGAACCGGTTCAAACCGGTGCCTTAAGCCGGGTTTGAACCGGTGCCAAATTCGTTTTTTTCACGTAGTGCAAGTACCATTTTTTTTTTACAAAACTGTGACTACTACTCGAATTTTATTTACTTTATGTTTGATTATTACTGTATATAATTGGATTGGATTTTATTTTGGTTTTTCTCAAATTCAATTGTTTACCATAATTGTTTACTTTATTGTGTTTTTTTATGACCTATCGTATGTTTTTGTTTCGAACACTGCCCATTTATCAGGTCACCCACATCGCCACTAGTTGAATCGTGCATTTTATGCTATAGTATTTTGGATTATGAGTTTAGTACAAATACAATCATGAATCACTACTTTTGGGATGTTCTTAGCTTATTGTGTTATCGATCAAGAAATACAAGACTCTTTGTCTTAATCATTGCTTATGCTCCAAATTTGCCAAAATTGACTAAGGATCAATGTCATCAGTTAAGCCGTTAGAGCAAAGCGGCTCTACTATTTGTAATTTATTTCAGTTGCTAAATATATAGTATTTACTGATTCATTGCTCTAAAAAGTGTACACTGGATTCTTTTAGTTCAATCTCACCATCTCCTAGAAATGCAGGGGACTATTGTGCTAATTAAAAGAAAACACTTAACAACCATAACAACAATTCTGATTTTAGAACTTTTAATTGCCATTTTCACTAATAAGTACTACAGCAAAAAGATGATTCACAACCGGCTGTAAAGAGTCGGAATCTTAAACACAAAGGCAGTTAAATACAAGCAGAAATAAAAGTACAACTACTGAACTTTGATTTTAAAAGCACCAAGGTAGAGGAGAGGGTCAATTGTACAAAGCTTTACCCTTACGGCAGAGAAATTCTATTAAATTCTATAACTTCCATTCTTTAAATACAGCAGAAAGGGTCTTACAAAATAACTAAAAGCATCTAATCTTTGCAATGGCAACTAGACCACGGCTAATTCTGCCTCTTTTAGGAGAAGAGAAAACGAATAATCCAAATGGATCCAGCTCCTAATTTTGCTGATACTAGTAATTTCTTTCTTAGAAGCCTTTTGCAAGGAAAAAACAACAGGAGCCTTCTCCAAGCAATGAAGCTAAGAAGTGTTCCACAGAATAAAAGAAATCATTAGAATAGCTTATTCGTGCAAGCCGCAATGGGGTGAAAGGAAGGGGGTAGAAATATCAACGACAATTAATCACAAGAAGGCAAGGTAGTAAGCTGATAAGTGGTTTATTTGACCACTTATTATGGTGATTTTAACTTGGTTTTGCTATCCTTTCCCCTCTTTATAACCCGTTTTTAATTATAAAAGTTGTGTCTCGGCCTCGCGCCCTCTTTGTTTGTGTTTGTCCATGTTTTGCGGGTGCTATGACTCACTTTGACAAGAAATCAAAGCTCGGAATGGAGTTTAAGACATGATGGAAAAGAAAGGAGAGCCCGCTCCTAGTGAAGCGGGCGTACACCTCTCCAGGAGTGGGCGCTCCATTGTGATCAAGACATTCTGCCCAAATCCAAATCTGTGAGGAGCGAGCGTCCATCCTAGCTGGAGCGGGCGCTCCTAGCTGCTTCGCTATAATCTACCTTAAGGTGAAGCAGGGAGGAGCGGGCGTGCACCCTCCATGGAGCGGGCGCTCCTCCCCTTCAAGCTTGATTCTGCTATATGCTGAGGAACAGATGAGCGGGCGCACATCACTCAGGAGCGGGCGCTCCTCACTGGAAATCCGTTTTATTTTGACGGATTAACCTATGTAATTTGGGGAGTATAAATACTTCCCCTTTAGTTCATTTGTGAATTAGACAACAATAGCATAGTTTTTAGCAACTCCTCTTTGTTTGAAACAATCCACTTTGGTAATTTAGTTTAGTTTTCATCAAATTAATCATTGTAATAGTGAATTTCAAGAGATATTCTCAAGGTTTGGCACTTTGTTATCAACATTTGAAGCTTCACCTTCTTCTACTTAATTTCTGATTTTATTTGGTATTTTGCATGTTACTTGAATCCTTTTAGTTCTTGATGATTTGTTGTTGGATGATAGTTTATTCAATTGTTAACCAATTTCCCTAATTATTGAAGTAGTTAGAACCCTAATACTTGTTTGCATGTTGATTAATATGAGTTGTGAGCAGTCTTCTTGCTAGGGGTTGGGTGAAGCTCAACCTTTTGGGTTAGTTATGCAAATGTGGGAGAAGTATTGATGTTTGTATTGCAATTAAATTGATTGTATGAGATTGCTTGTTAGTTTTTCATGATAAGATTAGCTACTCTTGACTTGGGAGCTTGATAGCATGATATGCTTAGTTTGACATGGAAATGTGAATTGAGTATGTTATTACTTATTGCAATTTGATTATGTATCTTCTATTGCAAAACTGATGAAGAATCTAATTTTGGTAGTGTGAGTTGTTTTCTAATTGCATGAGGTTGATTTTACATATAGTCCTTGCTATACCTTGTCTATTTTACTCCTTGTTTGCCTAATTGTCTTGGTTGAGTGGATTCCATTCCCTAGTGTTTTTAATCCATTGAATTAGAACCATAATTTGTTTGTCTACTTGACGAACCCCAATTCACCATAGACTTCGAATTAGCTAAGTGTTAATATCTTTAGCAACCATATCCCGTTCCTTATGGACTGAACTCTTACTTATCATTGAGTGTGGAATGTGCGACCGTTCTAACGCCCATCATAAGCCTAAGTAATAAAATCATAAAATAACTGAATTACTATTAGACGACAAAATATTACTTAAGGTGACATTGTTAATGACCATGTCACATACTCTTATATTTTCAATTGTTATTAATTCCTCATCCCTAATTACCTTCAAATTTTAATTTATTATTGTTTTTTTTATTACGATGGATAGACACCATCGGTAATACTTTACCGATAGTTCAGCCATCGGTAAAACAAATAAGTTCCGACAGTTACTTTAGCCATCGGAAATTATCAATAATACCGATGAATTGTGGTGGCCGTCGGTGATTGCCATCGGTGAATAGCGTTTTTCTAGTAGTGAAACCACAAATTCAAACTACCACACCAAAACACCTACAGTGTCACCTCCAGGTTGACCACTAATACCCTGACCACCATCACCACCACCACTCTACCGCCACCACCACCGCCACGTTTTTTTATTCTAATCAATGTGCGACATAATGCATTTATTATGGAAGCATTGGGCAGTAAAAGAAGAAGCATTATTACAAATAGTTATATTAGTGTCGGAAATAGCTATTAGTAATTTATCACCAAAAAATTTTATAGACCATTTGTTGTAGATGTCTTTTCCATGGTACGAACATTTGTGAGAGATGTCCTATAGCCACCCAACCACCACCACCCCCCGCATCCCCACCCACACACTCAGCTTCAACATGCCGGCACCGTAACCCACCACCACCCCAAACCAGCCTCAACCCCGACCACCGGAACCCACCTTCCTCCCTAGCCCCAACCACCAGAACCCATCCCCCTCCCATTCTCGCACCCTTAAACTGTCCAAAAAAAACCCTAAATTCTAAAACGACCACAAAATTGGTCGCAATCGGCGGTTTTTGGGGTTGAGAGGCATAAACAAGCCGACTTCAACTATTAGAGGCTCAAATCATGCTCATTTTTTGGGGAAGGGGCTACAATTTGGCGCAGGTTGGTCGTTAAGGTTGCGGGAAAGGGAGAGGGTGGGTTTCAGTGGGGCTGGGTTAGGTTGGGGGAGGAGTACCGGCGATGGGGAGAAGGCCAGCGCTGCGCTAGGTGAGGACGCAGAGCAGGGAGGCGATGGTGGCGCTGGGTAGTTTTAGGTCTTTTTATTTAATTTTTGTTTTACCATACACAAAGCGACACGTGGCATGCATTGTGGACCCAATTAACAGATTCTTGGACGAAAATTGTTAAGTGGTGGTAAAATCAATTTTTTTTAAAAAAAAATTTGGTGTTATTTTATTATTTTTTTTTTTGGGGGGGGGGGGGTTAAGGTGTTAAAAACCATTTTCAAGTTTTTTGGGGCGTTAAACTACACAAAAGCCTATTTTCAACAATGATAATCTGCATGGAATTACAAGTGTGGAAGGATGGAACTACTCTTTTTTTTTTTTTGAACGGGAACTACTCATATTTATAGTTCTTGCTCACATCTTTTCTTTTTTAATTAGTTATTTGCATCACTTACCTTTTATGTGTTTTTTTTTATATATATTTTTATTTGCATCACTTATACGTAGTATATAGTAACTTTATAGTGTATTTTATCATGTCTCTTTCTTACTTTAAACGCCACTCAAATTAATTTATCATTTCTCTCACACATACTTTCACTTTTATGGTCCCTATATTACTTTTATTATGATAAATTATTCATCCACTCACGTCAATACATCAATATCAATATCAATCAATCAATATATATTATTAAAACTCATGGCAAGACATGCTGTTTTGCCACGTGTCACCAAGTTTTCCATTTGGCATATGACGTGTCGCCAACTCATACCATATCATTAATGATTGAAAAACGTCATGCATTAATTAACCTTCATGTATTTATGTTTAGTTTAATTGATAAACTCTTCATATGCATATAACAATTTCCCTTAACATGTAACTCCTTAATAATTACACAATAATAAAGTTTGTACAAAAATTAAACATTACACTATTTTTATTTTGTGCATTAATTCATAAAATTGTAATTATAGAGTAAAAGATTTTTGTGCATTATGGAGTAGTATATATTTTGACATCAAATTTATATAATGACGCGGGGCATCGCCCGGGCCAATAGCTAATTATTATAGTACTTCGCATAACAAGTTCACCCTCCTTAAAATCTGTGCATTCTTAATTGATGCAAAAAAAAGAAGAAAAAAAAACAGAGTAGTGATATATATATATTTTATATATTTTAGTGTTCCATCCAGTTCACTCTTTAGGCTAATTCGGATTCGGGGATCAATTATGGGTGGTTAGGTTCCACTCCCCTCCCAATTGTTATTGCGGGGGATCGAACACGTTCCAATTCTCTCCCAATTATTGTTACAGGGGATCAAACACGAGTTCTCCTTACCAAATGTAGTCTCATATATCACTACACCAGTAGCCTATTAGTACTAGTATTGATAATATGCATGGAAGTAAAAGCGTAGTATTGAGATTCCATTACTAAAAACATTTCCAAATGATCGGCTAATCGAGAACTTAAAACTTTACTCCGTAGATAAGTAACATTATAAAGTACTCGCCCTCCTTTCCGTAATAGTCAAAACTTTGGCGGGAGACCCTTACTTCTCAAAGTCCACAAACCCAGGAACCTGAATGCTCATCGCCGCCGTCTTCACCACCACCACCATATCCTTTCTCTCTCCTCGCCGTCTACTTCTCTCTCATCAACCTCTTCTCCTCCTCAATAACCCTACCTCTAAACTCTCCTTCCTCCACCTCCAAGCTCGGCCTCCAATGGCGTCCTCCTTCGTCGCCGAGTACGCTAAATCGAATCGCTCCGCTTGCAAAACATGCTCTGACAAAATTGCTGCTAATGCATTGAGGTTGGGTGTTGTCACCAAAGACAAACAAAGAGGGTTTGACGCCACTAAATGGCACCATTTCCACTGCTTCTCCTTTAAGTCTAACTCCGTTTCGTCTCTCTCGGCTATTCGAGGGTTTGATTCTCTTAAGGTGTTTTAATTACTCCCTCCGTCTCTAAAAGCTACATTATCGTTGGTCAATTTTATTTTAATGGTGTGTTAATTGATTGATTGTTTCTTGAGGAGAATTTCACCAATGTTGTTTTATATCTGTTGAATTTAGTACGTCATATACTCATATTTATAATGTTTTTCTTATGGTTTACTTGGTCTTGAATCAATTATTTAATTGCAATAAGTCAAATGTGGCCGGTCTCAAGAGAGACGGAGGTTAATAGTAATAATTTTGACATTTTGTTGTTTGTTTGAATTTAATGTAGAGTGACGATCAAGAGGCTATGAAGAAATTGGTGGAGGAACTTGGCAAGGTTTGAGTTTAATTGTTATTGTTGATTGTAAAATTTGTATTTTGGTTTCATTGGTTTGGATATAGTTAGCCGACGCCAAATCATTTTGGGACTAAGGCGTTGTTGTTGTTGTTGTTGTTGTTGTTGTTGTTGTTGTTGTTGTTGTTGTTGTGGTGGTGGTGGTGGTGGTGGTGGTCTTGATTTAGTTGGAGCCCTTGGAGGCTGATTATGATTATTTAACCACGAATTTATGAGTTCAAACTCGATATATTACTCATTTTAAATTTATGTTTGGGTTTGTTGACCAAAATTTGAATTTAATGGAACTTCGGGCTGGATGATGCTCGAAGTTCCTGCTCCTCTCCTGTTTCCATTTTGACTCGTTTAGTGGATGATGTTTGAGTTTTATGTGTTTGAGTTTCTTGGTTTCGTATACTAGGAGAATTTAGGTACACCAGTTACTCAATACTCATTACTGCTTCTGTAGGAGAAGGATATCGATGATGACGCAGCTGCTGGACAGGAACAAAACATTTCCAAGAAAAAGAAGGTAAAAAGATAGTTGTGTTATTTCCTTAATCCTGTTTAAGGGAGAGAATATTGTCAATGAAAATTGATGAGCAAAGTAGTCAGAATCTGAGATGGGGGAAAAAAAAAATCAGATTGAAAATTGGAACAAATTCAGTTTTGCATGCAATTAATGAAATGAATTCTTCTCCTATGAGTCTATGACATAAGTTAAGATGTCTCTCTGCTAATTTCTCCAAATCACTGTGCCTTGTTGATTTTGAGCAATTCATTGCAATGCCCACGGCACGCACACAGTTAAGTTTTGTCAGGTAGCAAATGTGTACAATTAGCTGTGAAGGCTTGTTTACACCAACACAAATATATGACCCCTTTTTAGGTTTTTAGAGTTATATGACTTAATAGCTAAGAAATCATTTCAAGCAACTCTTTGCAATCTCATGCTTTATTAATATTGAATTATATGTATATAACTGATAAGTGGTAACTAAAATGAGGGAATTCAAAAACAGAATGGTTGCTTACATAAATGCATAATTTTGGACACCTAAAAGCGCATTTCATATTTAGGTGTTCCCTTTAAGGCCATGCTTGGATTGAGGGTAATATGTTAAGGGGTTAATAAAAGTCAAACTTGAAAAGACATTAGTAATAAAAGGTGTTGTTGTAGGAGTATTAAGGGGTTAATAAAAGTCAAACTTGAAAAGACATTAGTAATAAGAGGTGTTGTTGTAGGAGGTAAGGTTTTTACAAATGAAATAAGGTAGTTATTCCATGAGAAAAAGAGGGAGATGGAGGAATATTACTCTCATTTTGAGGGTAATAGTTACACACCCTCTTCCTAGTGTAACTATTTTCCCCAAAATGGGTCTCTTTCTTCACCTCATACCTCACCATCACAACACAATTTTTCTTACAAGAACACCATCACTATCTCCTTCCCTATTTACTTTCATTTTGTTTAGTTTGACTTTTATTACCCTAATAATATATTTCCCTCAATCCAAGAATGTCCAAGATGTTTTATTGCATGTTATGTGTATTTAATGGCTAATCCATTCAATGTAGTACTGTAAACAAGTTTATGTTACAATGGTAGTACAATTTACATCACATTTGTTTTACTTTGTACAGCGCGGAGATAGTGATGATGCTGTAGAGAAGCAAGAAAGTTCGAAGAAATTGCAGGTAAGGAAAATGCCTTTTGTTTCCAAGGGTCTCACCGTTGCTTGGTGAACTTTCTAGGACGTGACTTAGGTAAGCATGTCTGGAAAGTTGTATGATATATAAGTGTTGATGTTTTGGGGATACAAAGGCAGCAAAGAGTCTAAGCATATTTCAATTGTCCATTTTTTTTCCTCTCTTTTTTGACACGACTACTTCTAGCTTTCTGTGAGCGAGGAGGCAAATGTCAAGATTACACTTGCAACATCTGATATAAAGGATATATACCAGGTACAAAATACTTTTAATTTTTAGTGTCCAATTTTTTTCATATTTTCTCATCTTCCCTCCTTTTTACATCTTCTAGCTGTACGTGACAGTATTATGTTTAGCTGTTAATCGTTTACTTCTTCACATATACTCCTTTGCTATAAAATGGCCTTCTCAAGCTGACTTTTTTGAGGCCTTTTGCAGTTTTGCCCATAATAAGTTGATCAATGCTTTCTAATTTTGATGGTTGAAATTTCGTTTGAGATGGTCAATTTTGCTTTGTTATTATTCTGATATCACATTTTCTGATCCAGGGAGCTACATTACTGCCAAATTGGAAAGCATTTCATAGCATCATATTTCTTGAGAAGGTGAGACATTTCTCAACTCAGAGGTTTAGGTCATGTTATGTTGTATGAGGAATATAAGCTTCAGATTCCAAACGTGATTAATGCTGTTTTTTTTTTGCTCAGAAATACACTTTTTTTTTGTCATTCTTATAATTTTCATAATTCAAGCAAATCATTTTTTTTCCTTTTAATTATAAATATGTTTGGACTCTTCAATCCTTGTATGGACTGAGGGAGGTATGTGTCCATATTCTTTGAAGGTACCCATGATTCAACATTTTTTAGATAGTAGCTTCTTTCATGGACTAAGGGAGGTAGCTGTCCATATTCTTTGCATATTTCCATGGTTCAGCATTATCTAAATACTCCCTCTGTCACTTTCGTATGGTTACATATTCTATTTTGGGTGTCTCCTTTCCGTGGTTGCATCTTACATTTCTAAACTTTCCTCAAATAGAATACTTTTTTATGCGTTTACTCTCATGTTTCACACTCCCAATACACTTACCCTTATATTACCTATTTCCAATACAATTATTCCCATTTTCCAAAATTATTTACACATTCACAAAGCAACTATTTCCATTTACCAAAATCTTTACCACTCCCAAAGAAAATCTTTTCATATACCTACATTTTTTTTTTGGACGCAATATACCTAGATATTTACCTATTCCCTGAACAAATATTCTCATTTTACATACTTACAATGCTTTTAATTAATACCCGGGTAAAAAACCAAACGTAACCATAGAAAAGTGACGAAGGGAGTAGTAGTTTCTTTGAAATATTTTGTGAGTATTTCTTACAAGATGCATTTTCACCTAATTTACTTTTGTTCTGCTTTTTTATCCCTGAGTAGGATGCTGGCCTACAAGATTCAAGTAAAATTGCCGCATTTGATTTTGATGGATGTCTTGCAAACACTGATGTGAAGAGGTATGTTCAACAGCACAGAAAGTTGCCTTACTACTTTAGTCTGTATGCAATTTTTTTTTAATTTTATTTTATTTAGTTGTTGGATGTTTCATGTGACTGGCAATTAAAACAACTGAAAGGATTAAGGGTTCAAACTAATTGCAATCAACCCACAACAATGAAGAACAAGCAAGCACAACAACTAAGAACAACCATGAAAGAAACATAAGCAAATAAAGGAGACAATGTTACCGTGGGAAAACCCGAGAACCGGGAGAAAAAACCCAACCTTGCACTATGGAGTAGTATTGATGATTAATGAATCAAGAATTACAAGCATGAATTGTATTGAATTCAAATGCACCTCACAAAACCTCCCATAAACCCTCTCTCTAAGTGTTTAATGTTTTGTGAATGACTTGGAGAAGAAGTTTATCAAAACTATATATAGTCTAGGTAATAAACGATGATCCAAGGGCTAGCAATTATTCAAGCAACACGGGCTGAAATCGCACCGTAAAACAGGGCAGCATAGAGGTTCGGCCGAACCAACCCAGGGTTCGGTCGAACGTAGGGTGGTTCGGCCGAACTTGATGTGGTTCGACCACTCCTCCACTTTTGCAAAAAACGCAAAAGTTTCTGCCAAGAGGTTTGACCGAACCTCGGTAACACCATAGAAAGGGTTTGGTCGAACTTCCTCCATCTAGCTTCCCTTTGATTCTTCCTTATGCCTCCATATATTGATGCATCTCCACACTAATCCTAACAATCTCTCACTTGGAGATAGGATCAATAATGCAATCACCATAGACATCCATATATACACTCCTTCCTCAAGTACACTCAACACATTCATCAAAGCAATTTTTTCACCATAGCACAACATTCCATCAAGTTAATGATGGAGTCCAATTGAGGTCCTACACAACCTCAATTTGTCACTAGAAACAACCTTAGTGAGCATATCCGCCGGATTCTTCGAACCGGCAATCTTCCTCAAACACATCGTGCCATCCTTCACCAAACTCCTAGTATAGTGATAACACCTCTTGATGTGTTTAGTGCGATAATGAAACATAGGATTCTTAGCCAATTGAACCGCACTTTGGCTATTACTATACAACTCACAAACATCTTGTTTCATGCCCATTTCTTCTAGAAAACCCTTCAACCATTCCATCTCTTTTCCCGCTTCCGACATAGCCACATACTCGGCTTCCGTCGTAGACATAGAGACACACTTTTGGAGCTTGCTCATCCAACTAATGGCCGTACCACCAATAGTGTACACATACCCCGAAGTGCTTTTGCTTGAATCATAACATCCACCAAAATCGGCATCAACAAAACCTTCCAAAACAACTCCATTTCTTCCAAAGCAAAGAGCCATACTTGAAGTACCCAACAAATACCTCAATAGACACTTCACGGCTTCCCAATGTCTCTCATCCGGATTTGACATGAACCTACTCACAACTCCCATTGCGTGAGCAAAGTGCAAATCATAGCATACATCATGCTACCAACGGCCGAAGCATAAGGAACAATGGCCATTTTGTTCTTCTCTTCCCTTGTCTTTAGGCAATCCTCCTTTGTCAACTTGAGTTCACTTGAAAGAGGAGAACTTCGAGGCTTTGCATCAATCATGTTAAATCTTTTTAGTACCTTCTTGACATACTCCTCTTGAGATAACTTCAACACACCCGTTGAGCTATCTCGAGAAATTCTCATGCCAAGTATTTGCTTGGCCTCACCCAAATCTTTCATCTCAAATCTTCTAGACAACTTCTTTTTCAAGCCATTGACAATTTTCATACTAGTTCCCGCAATCACCATATCATTAACATACAAAAGTAAATAGATATAGCCATTGTCATACCTTTGAAAGTAGCAACAATGATCACCTTCCGCTCTCACGAAACCATTGCTTAGCATGAAATTGTCAAACTTCTTGTACCATTGTCTCGGAGCTTGTTTCAACCCATATAGACTCCGTTTAAGCTTGCACACCAAGTGAACTTGAAACCCTTCCGGTTGCTTCATGTAGATTTTCTCATCCAAATCACCATGTAAAAACGCGGTTTTTACATCCATTTGCTCAAGAAATAAGTTCTCAGAAACCACTATAGCCAACAAGATTCTTATAGTGGTCAACTTCACAACCGGAGCAAATATCTCGTGATAATCAATGCCCTCCTTTTGTGAAAAACCTTTCACCACAAGTCTTGCCTTGTACCGAATTGTACCATCCGGTTCTTCTTTCTTTCGAAATATCCATTTGCACAAAAGTGCTCTCTTGCCCTTAGGCAAATCTACCAACACCCAAGTGTTGTTCTTCTCCAATGAAGACATCTCATCTTCCATTGCTTGCTCCCACTTCAACGAGTCACCCATGCCCATTGCCTCTTGATAACATTCCGGCTCACCGGAGTCCGTCAACAACAAATAATGCAAGGATGGAGAATATCGGTTTGGTGGCTTGATTGGTCTTGATGATCTCCTTACCGTTTGTGGTGTAGAAGGCTCTCCTTGAACCACAACGGGCTCACCCATAGCTACTCGCTCATCCGTCTCGAAATGATCATCATTCTATGTTACCAGGACTCGGGTATGGGTGTCGGACACGGACACGCGTCAAGGTGTCCAATTCGGCAAAGTCTAAAATTTTGGGACTCGGGGACTCACTCCGAAATTTGGACACGGGTGCGGGGACACGTGTATATATATATATATATATATATATATATATATATATATATATATATATATATTTTACGGAGTAAGCCATAAGGAAGCCTTTAATGAAAAAAATAGTAAAGGAAAAAAAGGATGTCTGATGTGGGCCAGTATAGAAAAAAAGAAACAACCTTTAATGAAAATAATAAAGAAAATACAGGCTGTTAAAGCATAAAGAGTAAGGGTCACGTGAAAACATTTTCTTTTCTTTTTCTTGTCTCTCTCTTCGTATTTCTTCTTCACCTTAAAAACTCCCTGCACTTCAATGGAGTCTCTTTTCTCCGTCACCATCGATGCAAAATCAGAATGGCGTTTGGCTTGCCAGAGGCCCACGAGTAAAAGCCCTATAGTTTTATTACTTTTTACTTCTTCATTTTTGTTTAATTTGGGAATTAGGGTTTCTGCCGAATCCGAGGAGAAGTTGACAAATTGGACACGAATTTCGTGTCCGAATCCCATACGCGTCGTATCGACTCGCGTTCGGCGGCCAAAATGCCGAGTCCGATTAACAAATTCATCATCATCTGAATCACTAGAATCCGAATCCAAAGGAACATGAGCACCATGTTGAGGAGATGCTTGTTGAATTTGCACTTCAACTCCTACTTTTCAACCTCCTTGCCACTTCTAACTTCACCATCTAGCTTAACAAATTTCCACTCATCTTCTATTGATTCTCTCTCCACGGATTTTCCTCCAAAATTGTCCTTATACAAAGAACTATCATCAAACGTAATGTCACAATGCCTAACAATCTTTCGATTCTTAGGATCCCACTATCTATAACCGTATTTCTCACATTCATACCCTATGAAGTAACATTTGATGGCCTTTGGGTCTAGCTTATCTCTCTTCTCGGATCGCAAATAGGCCACACAACCAAAGGTCTTCAAGTGAGTGTAGGACACCTCCTTTCCACTCCACTCCTCCTCCGGTATCTTGAAATCCAAGGGCACCGAAGGTCCACGGTTTATCAAGTAAGCCGTGGTACTAACGACATCCACCCAAAAACATTTTGGGAGGCCCGCAAACAACCTCATACACCTTGCCCTCTCAAGTAAAGTCCTATTCATCCGCTCCGCTACCCCGTTTTGGCGAGGTTTACCGGGAATGGTCCTCTCCAAAACAATGCCATGCTCCTTACAAATGTTCTTGTAAGCTTCCAACTCATACTCTCCTTCATTGTCGGACTTGATTGCCTTAATCTTCTTGCCCGAAACATTTTCAACCTCCGCCTTCCAAGTCTTGAACTTCTCATTCACTTCCGACTTGTGCTTCATGAAATATACCCATACTTACCGGGTTGAATCATCAATGAAAGTAACAAAGTAGTGAGAACCACCAAGGGACTTGATGGGGTATAGGCCCCAAACGTCCGTGTGCACAAATTCTAGCTTCTCCTCTTCAAGAACCGTTTGGTTTTTGTGAAAGACACCTTCTTTTGCTTGCCAAAAACACATGTCTCACAAAATTGCATGTCGATTGATTTTAAACCCGACAACTTACCCTTCGAAGCTAGCAATTTCATCCCTTTCTCACTCATGTGACCAAGCCGAATATGCCAAAGCTTAGTCTCATCATTTGCGGTTGTAGCAATCATGCATGTACACCCAAAGGTAGTGTGCAAAGTACCGGTCTTCATGCCCCGAGCCACCACCATAGCTCCTTTCGACACCTTCCAAGTACCCTCACCAAACATGGTTCTAAAACCGCTTGAGTCTAGTTGACCCACCGAAATCAAATTCTTCCTAAGCGTAGGTATGTACCTAACATCTTCAAGCTTCCATGAGCTCCCACTTGAAGTCTTGATCATAACATCTCCCTTCCCCAAAATATCCAACAGTTCATCATCCGCAAGGTACACCTTTCCAAACTTACCACTCTTGAAGTTTTGAAAAATCTCCTTACATGGAGAAGAATGAAATGAAGCTCCCGAATCAAGGATCCAAGACTCAATGGGACTATCAACGCTCAAGATCAATGCATCACCAAGTTCATCACTTGATGCCAAGTTACCGATGAACTAGCATCATCGTGGTTCTTGTGGTTTGAACCACCCTTCTTCTTGGGATTAGGACAATCCTTCTTAGTATGTCCTTTCACACCACAACCCCAACACACAATGTTCACCTTTCCTTTCGACTTACTCCTCCCTTTAGACTTCGATATTCCCTTTTGAGCACCTCTTTGTTGTCTTCCACGTCCCCTACCTTCACTAGAATATGCACCACCCGATGACTCACCCGAGTTCTTCCTTAAGCTCTCACTCAAGATTAAATCCCTCACATCATCACATTTCAACTTTAAATTCCCGGAGGAGTTGCTAATGGCGGCTACAACGGTATCCCAACTCCTAGGCAACGATGACAACAAAATCAAGGCCTTCACTTCATCATCAAATTTGATCTCAACCGAAGCTAGTTGAGAGATTATCGAATTGAATTCATTTATGTGTTCCGGGCGGAACCACTATCATTCATCTCAATTTCAAACAAACGACGCATCAAGAACACCTTGTTCATAGCCGATGGTTTCTCATACATATTGGTCAACGCTTTGATCACACCGATCGTCATTGTCACATCCTTGACATTGTAAGCAGCACAATTTGCCAATGTCAACCTAATAACTCCAAGAGCTTGTCTATCTAATATTTTCCACTCTTCTTCCTTCATACCTGATGGTTTACTGGAAAGAGGCAAAAATAGGTTCTTTTGATACAAATAGTCCTCTATTTGCATCTTCCAAAACCCAAAATCCTTCCCATCAAACTTCTCAATTCTTAACTTTCCTTCCTCCATTGCAAATCAAACACACAAAGTTCACAATAGGTTTTTAACAACAAAGAATGCATTGACACCCAAGATTCAATCTTTGAATACCTAAAGACCTAAACTTTGTAACTCAATCACAAATTCAAGTTTAACACAACCCAAAATCACTTAAACACCAAAGATTCAACCTTGGCTCTGATACCAATTGAAAGGATTAAGGGTTCAAACTAATTGCAATAAACCCACAACAATGAAGAACACGCAAGCACAACAACTAAGAACAACCATGAAAGAAACATAAGCAAATAAAGGAGACAATGTTACCTTGGGAAAACCCGAGAAACGGGAGAAAAACCCACCCTTGCACTATGGAGTAGTATTGATGATGAATGAATCAAGAATTACAAGCATGAATTGTATTGAATTCAAATGCACCTCACAAAACCTCCCATAAACCCTCTCTCTAAGTGTTTAATGTTTTGTGAATGACTTGGAGAAGAAGTTTATCAAAACTATATATAGTCTAGGTAATAAACGATGATCCAAGGGCTAGCAATTAATCAAGCAACACGGGCTGAAATCGCACCGTAAAACAGGGCAGCATAGAGGTTCGGCCGTACCAACCCAGGGTTCGGTCGAACTTAGGGTGGTTCGGCCGAACTTGATGTGGTTCGACCACTCCTCCACTTTTGCAAGGGTTCGGTCGAACTTCCTCCATCTAGCTTCCCTTTGATTCTTCCTTATGCCTCCATATATTGATGCATCTCCACACTAATCCTAACAGCAACTATCAGAGCCTTAATCCCAAAGATGGGGTCGGCTACATGGACTAAAATTTTATCATCAAACATATTGTACATGAGCTGACTATATTAGAACACCCCCCCTACCCTGATAGAGAGATTAAAAAAAGGGAGTGAAGCTCTGCAAACAGGATGTTGCGTAAGCACGGTAAAATATTTTACTTGCATAAGTATAGAGCTCATAATGTAAATGCACAGTATAAATTCAATATGCAATGATTGCAGACACTACCTCATTTATGCAAGCTTCTGTTTGGAGCCAGTACAATGCGTAATTTTTCCTCTTTCATTGTCGAAGAATATTTTAAAATTTTTTCCAGATTTTTCTGTACTAAAAACTTAAAAAGGCTATTTGGGTACCTGTTTCCTGTAAGGTCAATAGCTCTTTTCTTTCACTTCTATTATCATGATTACAACATCTCCCTTATTTAACTCGGCTATATGCTTGTATTAATGGGAGTGTTATTCTATGTATTAGAAAATCCTATATATTAGGTGTATAACTGTATCATCAATAAGCTCACAAATAGTCAGATAATTTGAAGCTTGGATGGATTTCTCCTTGCTCTGGTCAACTGAAATTTACTCCTTAGTTTCTATGATTTGACAGATGATCTTTTAACTTTCTATAGAATGATACTTTGATGTAATAAGTTGCAGACAATCTTATGTCAGCTCATTTTATTAGGACTGGTGCAGATGCCTGGTCCCTTATGTATCCATCAATACCTGACAAATTGCAGAAGCTGTACAATGATGGCTACAAGCTGGTTGCATCTCCTCTTCCACTTCTCCAGAATTTGACTCCCTTTTTCCCTTCCCCCAACTCCAAGTGAAAAAAAAGGCGACTTATCTATTTATTGGTGCTCTCTTTTCCTTAGAATGTCTTTAATAGGACTGCAACTATTTCAGGTCATATTTACTAATGAATCCAATATAGACCGCTGGAAGAATAAGAGACAGAAAGCTGTGGATTCAAAAGTTGGACGCCTGAACAACTTTATCAACCTTGTGAAAGTCCCGATTCAGGTATAAAAGCTGTAGATGTGTTCGTGTTGCTAATATTACTGGTCTAATGAGGTTATGGTGTAATGGTGTTGAGTTTTAGTAGTTTAGTACCTTTTTTACTTACCATTGACTGTATGTCAAAACCCTTCTTGTTATGATTTTGAACTCTTCCACTTACTAGATGTGATTGAACTTTGCCTATATTGAATATAATATGTTCTGTGCCAATCCATAAATCAAGGAAAAACTTATGTATGTCAATAACGAAGAAGCTTATTTCTCCTTGTCATAGATTAATATGATCGAAGATGAATAGGGGAAAGGAAAATAAAATTGACTTCTAGTTTGCTTTTCACCAGATGAACGGAGTGAGGTTTTAATGTATCTTCATCAAAGGCTACGACCAAGTGTATAGTAATTGTTAGTTCATGCATTAGAAGTTATAATGCATAGAAATTTGAATGACAAGTAATATGAAATGCAAGAAGTTAGTTAAGTGATCAGTTAACATCAAATGGAGTTTCTAGTTTTACTCCCCACCCAGCATTTTCATGAAAAAATGTAAAGAACGAAAAGACCTCTTTATGCAGAAAGTATAAGTAAAGTCCATATAATACAACTGAAAGTAGCTAAGCTGGATGATAGCCTGAGAGACAGAAAAATGTTGGTGAAGCTTGAACAGGTGACTACTGACTTTAGTAGTTAGATCGCCATTTTTCTTCTAAGGAGATACAGAGATATTTAATGAATGAAAACATGTTTATATGGAAAATTGAGGGATACATGGATGGCTCGAGCCATTGTTATAGATCAAAAGGTTATATAGCATGCCAATTTCATTTATTTTTTGAAGTTTTTGAGTTTTATTAAATAGTTGACATGTAATTGCTGTTAGCAATGTTTATATTGTTGTAGCTTTTGACTCATGTTATCCAGGCTCTTCATATCGTCTCATGTACCAATGTCGGATCCTTGACACCCCGACATGATTTTGGATACTATGCCACTTCATTTTGGGTTGAAATCACGATATAGCCGAGTTGGACACTTAAGCACATGTCCCAGACTGACACGAGCAATTAAGTCTGAGTAGCAAAGGCTTTTGATGTTTGATATAATATTGTTTGTTTATAAGATTGATTAGCTGTTTACCAGGCATTGGATAAAGTGGGAAGTTTTTTTTGCTTTATTTCTGAGACTTGAATTGTCATGTCATGCTTGCTAAGTCAATATATTAATGTGTTGCTTTGACTTGCAAGACCTAGTAGGTGATACAATAATTATTTATTAACAGGTATACATAGCATGCGGTTTTGGACTTACAGACCCATACCGTAAACCCAAAACTGGAATGTGGCATGTTATGGAACGGCACTTTAATTCTGGAATTCCAGTTGATATGGATCAGTAATTTCTCTCTCCACTTTGTGAATTTTTTTTTTTGTCTGATTAGGATAATGTAATACAAGTAAAACTACTAATATTTCCTGTCCCTGTCATTTATGAGATACTATAAGCTTTCCTGTGGGCAGGTCCTTTTATGTCGGGGATGCAGCTGGGAGGAAAAATGATCACAGTGATGCTGATATCAAATTTGCTCAGGTATTGCTGTAGCCTGTAGGTTTCTTTGTTGAACAACTTGATTGATGTCATCTTATCAATTTCTTACAAGGATGGAAACAATACTAAAATCACAATTTTGCCTTCGACAATATGGTGAAAAAATGAGGATCCAATTAGATTGGTTTGTAGCTTAAAGTAGCTTCTGTTATTCAAAGAAATATCATATTAAGGAGATTGAAAGAAAATATCTTTTTGTATTAGAGTAGGTTTTTTGCACAAAGTGTATTGTGCTGAGGAGTGAGGGCTGGGATTTCTTTTGAATCAATTAAAATAAACTGGCCTACAGTGTCGGTAAAATGCAAGCGGTTTATGCTTGCTTCTGAATGTCTATGATATATATTCAATTTTTAGTTATTCAACTTGAGCATTGCAACTCTCTTGAGTGACCAAGCCTCATGTATTATTACCGTGATGACTTTTAGGCTTTTATCTATTACATGCATTGCATTTGAAAAACCGCTAACTTTTGGCGTTGCTTATGTGACACTGTCAAAAAGTGGTTGATTGTATATTTGAAATTTGGTTAGCTAAATTTCATTGAACTCCCTTTAACACAACGCTAGTATAACCTTCCCAAAACCCTCTAACCCTTTTTGTTGCTCGAGGAGGTTTGTTCCCAACAGAGCTACCTCTATGGCTCTCTGGTTGAGGTTTTCTGCAATAGCTGGTTAAAATTCTCGACTTTTAGGATGCTGACAAGTATGGTTGATTGTGTAGATCATGTTTTTACTTGTTATGCAGGATGTTGGGTTGAAGTTCTATGTTCCAGAGGACTTCTTCACCGTATAGACATGCACTAATCATAGCAAGTATATGAACTGACATTCTTGGGCTGCTGCTGATAGTTGATTGCGCTTAATTTTTCGATGGTCATCCTGATTTTCCCTTGTACATAATAAACATGGTATATCATTGCTGAAAATTTTCTGATCTGCTGTATGCTTGATATGTACGTCAATTATGATATTTCTACATACTATTGAAGTTGAGATCTCTGTTTTAGCCTAGTAAAAATCTGTAATGCACCTTTGGTAGAACTGATCTACTATTGTATTGGTATTTAATTGTTTATATAAGATATCTGCTCTTATCAATCGCAATCATGAAATTTGTTGTTTTGTTTTGATCCCCCCCCCCAAGTGTGTTACTAATTCTCAATTATAAGCAAACATAACAATTGGTAATAAGAACCCCAAAAAAAATTGCTACTATTTCAGCCTGTTGGAATGTTGTCATTAGCTTCTTCAATCCCATATTTTACTCCTAAGTCCTACCACATTTCTTAGCTTAGCATATGGTAAAACTGTTTAGAATAGGGCGAGTCTTAAGCTCTTTAAAATCAGAACTCTTGAAAGTGTAAAGGTCTATATATTGATGGTGTAATATGGTACAACCGTACAAGCCGGCAAGCGAGGGAGCCCATGATAAACAAAAAATATTTCCACATAATAAAATTTGTTTAATTATTTACAAAAATGCTATTAGATAAACATTTTTTTTTATGTACCATGAAGATGGACTTGTATTTTCTCTTGTGGAACCTAGTTTATGACTTAGTAGCTGCTTAACAGTCCTCAAATATGAACACCTAACTTTACTTGATAGGTGGCTACAAAAAAAGAGATAATTTGATTGAAAAGAATATCTAGTTAAAAAGGAGATTAGAAACTTCGTAGGAATCTATCCCATGCATGTCAAACATAGATAAAAAAAAAAGCACATTCTATTAAGGGCATGTTCTCTTCGGCTTATTTCAGTTCAGTTCAGCTTAGCTCCAATCAGTTCAGTTTAGTTTAATTCCTAATTTCTATCTCTCATAAAATATTCAATTCAGCTCATCTCATTTCAGTAAATCAGAAGAGGACCTAAGTCTCATTCTCCCAATTTGGCATGGCTATGAAGTAGGACGGGGCTCATGAGCCTTGCAAACATTGGCAGAGCTATGTAGTCACAAGGGGTAGCACACTTGCTACCTCTGTTTTTTCTATATAACATCCCTTTGATGATGCCATAGCAAACTAATACTTACCTGTGTTGCTCCCTTTTAAACCAAAAGAGACCTGTTACTTATAATATCTTTTTAATTTTTTTACTTTTTCTTTTGACTTTTTTTTTTTTTTTTTTTTTTTTTTTTTTTTTTTTTTTTTAAAAAGTGTTTTTTCTTCTACTTGTATGTTTTGATGTGTGCATTATTAATTTGTATACATCCATTTAAAGACTCTTATTTAAGTAGTAGAATTTATGGGTTATGTTAAAGAAAATAATCTATGTTCTAAAAAAATAGTAGTGGAATCTATGGTTTAAAAATAATATACTCCATCAGTCCTTTTATTAGAGTCCCACTTCTCTTTATTATGTGAGTAACAAATGTTACAAATGAGACTCTAATAAAAAGTCGGAGGGAGTATAAATTTATATTCGAACTTTAATTATCTTCTAAATATCATACATTATACCAATTAAATATAAAGATAAAAATAGAAAATGAGTAATAAAACTTTTTATTTATTAATCTTTATATTAGATGAAAATTTTCCATTTTAATTGCACTTTTCAATGCACATGTTAGATAAGTAATATGTTTAATTTTTTTTTTGACAAATAATATATTAACTTTTTAATTTTATGAGTATAATACCTTTTATTTATAGTATACCTGTATAAATTACCATATGGTTTTCAACCTTATGAATAGTAGATGTGGAGTACATACAAAAGTAATAATTTATCGAATATATGGAGTACAATTTAATTTTATCATTATATTATATTGACAACTAGAATATAAATTATTCTATATTTGTAAAATAAATATCCATCCACCAAAATAAATGTTAAAAATTTAAAAGCTAATTATCAATTCGTTTCTACTTTTTTTTTTTTCTTATTTGTTCAATGCTACCTCTCATTGAAATTCCTTGATCCGTCACTGCTTGCAAACCTCACTTGAATTGAGGAAGTGTGTTTTTCATTCATCTAATCATCACCTCTGAACTCCTTGAACTCCTTCTCAACATTTGGGTATCAAGTTGCGTGTTGGAAGGAGAAAGGTTACGCTTGTAAGAGTTGATGACCACAAAGAATGTTACCACTTTAATCGCTCAATTCAAATCTCATAACCATGAGATTTTAACGTCTGTAAGACAAGAAGAAAAATCAAGTCAATCCTTTAATAGTATGGATACAAATTTATAGGTAGGTTGTATTCTACCTAATATATAATGATGAGTGTCGTCTCAAACATTTTTGGGGTCCGGAGCAAAAACTTAAATAGGGGCCCTGACCCTAAACTACAAAGTGTAATTTATAAGTAATTTAGCAACAAAATATTTTACCCCTATTATTGGATTATTAATTTGAATTATCTAATTATTATTTTTTACCACCACGTATTAATTAAAATTTTGACGGGCATCGCAAAAATTGAAGAGAGAGAGAGAATAGGGCAATAATACTCCTATTTCATAATAATCACAATACGAACACCTATGTCAATGTACAAATTTGAATTATCTAATTACTAATTATATATATATATATATATATATATATATATATATATATATATATATATATATATATATATATATATATATATATATATATACACACACACACACCCATGTCAATGTACAAATTTGAATTATCTAATTACTAATTATATATATATATATATATATATATATATATACGGGGAGGTTCCGCTAAAAACAGAGCTTATGGTGAATACTAAAAACAAGCAATCTTAGCCATTCATTACTAGCACAAAAGATCAGACGGTTCTAAAGCCCCAAGATCATTCCAACCTTACATATAATCAATTCAACCGTTGTTGAGCCTTTTGGTTTTGATGGACAAATTGACAAACTCGACTAATGAACGTTTTGAGTCTTTGGTGAATAAAAGGTTCAAGCAAAGTTCGTTCCGGAGTAGGAACTTGGATGCGGAGTAGCATTCTCTAAAAATCCTCATGCAAATCTCACGTTCTAGTTTTAATTGTGAGCACTCAATAATATAAAGTCGGAAAGGAACTCAATGACTTATGTTATTAAAAAGACTACTGGAATAAAAGTTAGTTTTAAAAGATAATTTCTTAAGGAAAAGATAATTTATAAAAGTTTTATCTAGTCATCTAATTTCGAATAAAGATAATTATCTAGTTGTTTTAATATAAATAATTAATTTATCTTTTCAAATAAAATCCTTTTTAAAATAAAATCTTTTTAAAACAAACTTTTGATAAAGTTAGCAAGCAGTTTTCTTTGTGAAAATCTCTGATTCTACGGTTTTATCAAAGCTAATGTTTATCAAGTTGTTGAGATAGTGGATTAGTGAGATAAGGCTAGGAAACCTCCTTCATGATCACCATCTGTCAAGATAACTCCACAAGTTGTTAGTGGGGTGTTGGCATGTGGACGTGATTATAGTGGAGGTTAATGACCAAGCCTTCTCTATAAATACTCATGCAAAATATCTCAGCAAAACACAACTCTTGAGCATAAAAATTCCAGTAGCCATCTAATAACATAAAGAGAGTTATTATCCTTTTTATATTCTTGAGTGCAATAGGTATTTGTAATCACAGATTGTATTCAAGTACTTTGGGGTTGGGATTGTGAGTTTGTAAAGTGAGGTCAAGGAAGCTTCGTTGCCGAATGCTTCTGTGAGAGTTGGGAACAAGTTCCTAATTTGTGGAACTTGTTAACGGGTTTGAATCTTCATTTGTAAAGAGTTTGATTACATAGTGGAAATTTAGAAAAGCCTATATCTTCTCTCGTCATTATTTCATTTAGTTAAATCCCGCAAAAGTTTTTAGATTTCACCTCAAATACAATTCACCCCCCTCTTGTATTAGCCAGTTAGACTTTCAACCGTTTTAAAGGTCTTTTTTTTTTTACAAACGCAACGTTTTAAAGGTCACTACATGCTAAAATAAGGTAACTTTATCTAAATTGACGATATTTACATAGAGTCACTATATATAAAAATAACGTAACTATATACAAAAATAGGGTAGCTATATCAATCTTTACCGTATTTACATTAAGGTCAGTATATACAAAAATAGGGTAACTATTTCAATTTTGACCATATTTACATAGAGGTCACTATATACAAAAATAGGGTAACTTTAACAATTTTTACAACATTTACATTAAGGTCACTATATACAAAAATAAAGTAACTATATCGACTGAGTTTTTGACACCATTTACATAAAGGTCACTATATACAAAAATAAAAGTCACTATATATAAAAATAAGGTGACTGAAACAAAATTTACAACATTTCCATAATTCTAAGGTCATTATATCGAAAATAAGGTAACTGTATATAAAATTCGGGTAATTATATCAATTTGACACCATTTACCCAGAGGTCAATAAATATAAAAATAAGTATTAAAAAAGTCTATGTAGGATTCGAACCTACATCCCGTGATTACACGGTGCTCGACCAATTGAGCTAATAGGCTTTTAACATGCCAAAAATCACGCCCACATAAAAAACTAAGATCAATAAAGGGTGAAATAAAATCATCATTCGTGAACATTTAATTTTGCTCAAGTTGACTAATCGAGGCCTTGTAAAATTAGATTCAGAGTGTTGTACTGCTATGCATGATGGATTGGAGTATATAATGCATCATTTTCCACTGGATTTAGATAGTGTACTCAAACAAAATACAAAGTATTAATACCATTCAAGTAATCAAGAGATATGAAAAATCTGATCAATAAAAGTAAAGCTAAAAACAAAGATGCAAAACAAAGTCCTAGCTCTATCTTAGTAAACACGCTGGCCAAAAAAAATAAAACAAAATTCAAACAGAACAACACATTACATAAACTTGGAAGTTGGACCTCTTAGACAATACAAGTATATGGAAATTCATACTCTAACTGAGAATTCATCATATGCAGACTCCTGAATATGAGAGTAACATACTTCCTGAATCCCGACTTAAGTTTATGTGGATCGAACATAACTGAAGAGGTATGAAGGCAAGGTAGAGCACCAAAACATAAATTCAGATCATAACATAGACCCAAAAGTTTAACAGGCCAAGATACTAATATAACAAGGACTGGTACAA